CGTCCGGGCCGCGGGCCGGGCTGGTGTGCTGGGCTGTGCTGGCCCGCCACGGCGGCGTGGTGGCGCTGGTCGCGTGCCGCCCCGCCCCGCCCGCACCCAGCCTCCCTCTCTGCGAATGACAAATGTGTGCGCCGTGTACGCGTGTCACGGCGAGGACGTCAATGGAGACACATCGCGCTCCGCACGAGCCATCGACTGGCACGGTGTATACGGTACGCCCCTACTGCTCGTCCCAGCGGCCCGGCCCCACCGGCCCCACCCCGGCTACATCAACAATCATCATCTGCTGGATAGGGTTGCAGGTGCACGGCCATGTACTACACCGCCCAGCACAACAACCCATGCAGCGCCACACACGGAGCGACTCGACTACAGAACCCCCACGAGTCGACAACGATGACGTCTCAATTTTGTTTTCTCCCTTTGTCTTCTCAGGCTGTAACACATGAATCACCGATCTCTTCTGCACTTTGGCAGTTAGATAACTTCACCAATTTAAGTTAGTGCCTATAGGAACATACATATCAGCCCGGAATTGTGTCGTCAGACGCTTTAGATCTTCGATTCTTAACGGCAGCGTGTTTTCATTTCTGAGCTCGCTGGGCCGGTCTTTTTCATATTATTTCGCGCGACACTCCATTTCTTTTCATTGGCACTTGAGAACACTCAGCCCACTCCGCGCCCAATCGGCCCCTCCTAACGCGCACAACCAGAAAACAAAAATTGGCCCCTGGAATGGAGAGTGCTCAAGATAAGTAGGAGAAGGGGAACAACCACTTGCGCAAAGTCGACAAGTAGATGGTGAAACGGACGAGGAAAAAAAACCAGCCCCAGTGATCTCGGAGGAAGAGAGGCATTTTTAGGAAGGGCTTATTCTCTCCAAGTGCGTTCTCAAACGCGACAATGTTGGCCGCCCGACCCGGGCCCAGTCACCCATATTTCAGTAACCCCCACCCCTACCTCCTCCTTTTCCCCGCACACTCACCTGGCCTCTGGAGGCGCTCGCGTCCCTCAGCTCCCCCTGGCCGGAGGCTTGCCCCGAGGGCTGGCCCGGGGGTAGGCCGGACCCGGAGCCCGAGCCGGAGCCAGAGCCGGAACCCGCTTCCCCGAGGTCGTGGTCCTTCCGGTGGGTCGTCCTGACGGGGCCCAGGGGGGCGACGGGCAGGTGGCCCGGCGAGATCTCATTGCTCTTGTCGTCGTCCCAGCCGTAGGGGTCCGGGTCGCCGCCGGGGGGCTCAGCGTCCTCCGCGGCCTCGTAGACCTCCAGCAGGAAGTGCTGCCGGAGCCCGCCGTCCGCTCCGGCGATGCACTTGACTTCCATCTCGGGCGCCGCCCCAGGCGCCGCTCCGGGCGCCGTCGAGGAAGTCCGGTTCCGGACCGTGCACGCCTCCGGGGGGTGTGGCAGGGCTGCAACAGGAAGACAGGGGAGAGCGAGGCGTGAGCGGCGTGAGGAGGCACAGAGACAAATTGGCTTGATAAGGAGATGGGGTGGAGGGGTGCGGGCCGGGGGGTGGGGGGTGATCATCTCACACACAAGGACGGGCACCTTCTCCGACCAGCTAAGTGAAACATTATCAAACAACATAAAGAACAGCGCACTCATTTTACAGTAGCATTCCAAGGTGGCGAAGAAATAGAGAAGAGAAGAGAAGAGAAGAGAAGAGAAGAGAAGAGAAGAGAAGAGAAGAGAAGAGAAGAGAAGAGAAGAGGGGGGAAGGAACGGGAAAGGGTTCGGGTCGGGCCGCGCGAGCGGCACAAAGAAAACACATTAAAACAAACCCATTTAAATTTCAAATGGCGTCCCACCATTGTGTGTGTACCGTGATGTCGCTCTCTCCTCAAGAGCCGCCGGGGAGGGG